CGAATTGAGATCATTTCTCGATAATTTGCAGGGTGTTTGGTTTAAACCGGTAACAATTGAGAGCCAAATGAATAACAAAATTGATGAAAAGGTTACAATGAATTCCACAATTTTTGTGACAGCACGCCAGTCCCTTCGCGATTTTCGCGACATCATTTAATGTTTCCGCGATTTTCGCGACTAAAAGTTCAAATCCGCAACAAATCCGCGAAATTCGCGAAATCCGCGCCTGTTGTAACAGCCCTGAACATAGGAAAATCTGTAAAAAATTTCATAGAGAATCAAAACAAACATAGTGTAGTACTAGAATTTTAACTAGAATGGGGTACGTTAATAGATTTGCTTGGGACCAATAGGCTAGTCAAGTAGTGAGCCAATTTAAAATTGTTAGTTTCCACCGGTTGGTAATACCACGATAGTTTTCAATATTAGCCATATCACCATTCTTGTATACAGGGAACATGTCAGAAAATTTCCAGGAAAAAAAGAAATTTACGTTGCGCCAAGGAAGCATTGTATAAAACAATGAGCCGGCGGCAGTGGTGTAGTGGTAAGCGTAACTGCTTTCTCACTCCAATGAGTCTGGGTTCAATCCCAGCCGAGGTCGGGTGGGATTTTTCTGAGGCATAAAAATCTCTGGTCACGTCTTCCTTCGGAAGGGAAGTAAAGCCGTTGGTCCCGGCGCATGTGTGTTGAATGGGTGGGATGGGAATGGGATATCCTACGCAGGTGTGGAAGCTGCCTTCCTGCACATTCGATTTCCGTCAATGTATGGCAATCGATGTCCGTCGGTGAATGGCACTAGATTGCGGAACAGAGACCGACGTTAAATAAACCAAATAACAAGAAGAATAAGATAAAACAGTGAATGGGTAAACAAGAGCATCAGAACATTTATTCAATACACAGGCGGGAATTCCGTCGGGACTAACAGAGCAAGAAGGTTTCAATTTGTCTATAGCTGCTTCGACGTGATGCGTTGAGATTTCAAAGATACTGAATTCGATTTCATCCCTTGGATTACCATCGAGTGCAGCAATTATTCGTGAGTCCGATGCCACTGAATTGTTGAAAGCAGCCTTGAAATATTTCGCGAATGTATGAATGTACTATTAAAAAGTAATGAACCATGCTAAAAAAAAGCGATCCATCTCTGGCTGCAAATCCCAGCTCCCTAACCTGATGACGCTCCAAGATCATGGAGATAAATGGTTAATAAGCGGCTCTTGAACAGGGTGTCTACTCAATCCAAGGAATCAAATTCCCTGAGTTTTCCAGGTTTTTCCAGGTCGGATGAAAAAATTCCAGGTGCATACAAATTATACACATTATTATTTTATCTATTTATCCATCTGGAATCCCTTTTATGTACTTATTGATTTATGTTATTTTCGATTGTTCAAACTTGGGCGTTGGTACTTATAAGTCGGCACAGCAAAAAAGTTATTGAATATTACAGCAGAACAGATAAACATAGGTTGTTTAATATTAATTTGTACAATTTATGTTTAGTAAATGCATCAATAGTAAATACTTCCATCATGAATTACCGGAAAATTGTTCTAGTTTCGGCAGACGTATTTGCTTTTATTATTTTAAATAAAATGAGAAAGAGAAGGTGAACTTTGTGGAGTAGAACATGGTTGCTCAGGAGGAACACCGGCAGGGATCTGGCTCATCTTGTCCTTCAAGAGCTGCGATATGAAGATGAAAATGGATTTCAAAACCTCGCCAGGATGTTGAAACCAACTTTAGACAAGCTAGTGGGAAAAGTTCTCACTAGATCTACATGATTCCTTGAGTTCTGAAAATTTCTGTTAACAACTCAATTCTACAAGATCTTCAAACCTTCTAACGTCCCTGAAGTTTTGTTTCTGTTTTCGGGTAAAATTTCTTTAAAGGTCAACAATCATTCCTGACGATCTGCAAATTTCTCGGTAGTTCTACAGATGTCTTTGAAGTTCTGTGTGTTCTTCAGAAGTTCTGCAAATTTTCCTAAAAATCTACTAAGTTCCTGAATCCCTGAAGATTTAAGATCCTTGAAAATCAACAATTATCTCTGATGTTCACAAAAATTCTAATAATCTACAAAATTCTCGAAAGTTCTGTAATTTTCTCTGCAGATTTTCATGATTCGATGAATATCTGCAAATATCTCTGAACATCTATACACTTTTCTAAAGAATGAAAAGATTATCTAGAAATTTTTTAGCTTTCCTGAAGTTTTAGGGGTATTCTGAAGTTTTTCTAATTTTTCTGAAGCTGTGCAAATATCTCTAAAGATCAGCGAATTTACCTGAAGTTCTGTAAATGTTTTTCAAAATCCAAGAAACACAGTAAAATTCAGAAAATTTATTTAAACATCTGCTAATTTTTGAGTAGATTTACGATCTACCCTCTGAACTTTTCTGAAGTTCCTAAAATTTATTTCAAATTCTGTAGAGTTTTTTGAAGTACTGTATTTCTGCTCTAAAGATCTACGAACTGCCCTGAAGTTCAATAAATTTCACAGTAGATCTCCGAACTTTTCCAAAGTTCTTTAAATTTCTTTGTGGATTCTTGATCTAAAGATCGGCGAACTTTCCCTAAGATCTGCGAGTTTTGCTGAAGTTTTGCAAATTTTTCTAAAAACGTACGAACTTTCTGACGTTCTACAGACTTCTCTTAAGGTCTACGGACTTCTCTGAAGTTCTTTAGATCTATCTATTTCCGACTTCCATGGAGTTCTGCAAAATATTGTACTTTAGTACTTAGTTGCGATTTGTTTTTGGAATTGAGGTGCTTTTCATTTTCATTTGCATTTAACGAATTTTTCTGAAGATCTCACATTTGTGTGAAACTGTGAAACTTTCTGTCAAATTCCTGCAAATATCTTTAAAGTTCTGTAAAGTTATCTTAAGCTCCGTAGCTCTATTCCCAAGGTCTACAAAAAAAAACTTGAGGCTCAATAAATTTCTCAGTAGATCTGCAAACTTCTCTGATGTTTTGTAAATTTCTCTCGGGTTACCCTTAATATTTGAAACTTTCATTGAAGATTACCTAAAGTTGTCAAAATTTATCTGAAAATATTTGAGCTTCCTTGAAGTTTTAAATGTATCTCTAAAGATCTACAAATTTTCCTGAAATCACGTAAATATTTTTTTTAATCGCCGAACTTCCCTGCAGTTCTGCAATTTTTACTGAAGATTTATTAACATTTCTGAGATTCTTCTGTTTTTTTCAGAAGTCCTGTGATTTTTTTCAAAGTTCTGTAGCTTTGTTCTGAAGATCTACGAACTTTTCTGATGTTGACTAATGTTTCGAGGATCTCCAAACTTCTGTGAAATACTTTATATTTCACTGTAGATTCTTGGACTTGTCTGAAGTTATGCGAATTTCCCTGAAGATTTGCAAAATTTCGCTTATAGTTTTACAAATTGATTTGAAATTATTTTTGCTTGCTTGAAGTTTTGAAAATTTCTTTGAACATTTATCTGAAGATCTACGACCTCTCTTGTGATTTTGTTTTTATGAATTTCTGTTAATTACTTTTAATTTGTTTGTAGTTCTGTTCTCAAGATCAACGAACTACTCTGAAGCTCAACAAATTTCTCAGTAGATCTCCGACCCTCTCTGAAGCTCAAAAAAATTATATGTAGGCTCTCAGACCTGCTGTCTGGCATGCTTATTCTTATACAATACATGCTTCGTATGCTTCCTTTTGTCGGTTGCCAGTCTCTCTTCTTCGGTCGTTTCCTTTTTACGACGATTTTGATCCTCCACATACAAATCAGCGAAGAGCGAGCGTGACAAGACTCTCTGAATGAACTTGTCTCGTTCGCACACGTTGTCTTAGCTGTCAGATGCTTGTCAAGTTCAGTGTACTTAAGAAACGTTTCGAGAAACTGAGCGAAAAACTTCTTTTGAATTACGAATGAAGTGATAATTGGAAAATTCCCTGAATATTCCAGGTTTTTCCAGAAAAAATAAAATTCCCGGTTTTCCAGATTTTTCCAGGTAGTAGACACCCTGTTGAACATCCTAGAAAACAAAGAACTTCTCGACCACTGGCAACACTCTGAATGAACGCTTTCGAATAGTAAAATCGTTGATTGTGACGATTTGAAAGCAAAATAGACAGGTTTTTCGAGTCAAACATACTTTTCAAAATATCATTAATTAGATGTATTTCATAACTCCGAAAAACAATAGTTTATAGCAAGTGAGTAAAAGCAACCCTGAATAGGACCTGGATGCCTGACGTCATTGGACAACTAGCGAAATAAGGCCTTCGCGGACACTTCATAAAGAATTATTTATTCGGCCGAACCTTCCAGGTGCCTATTGGGAACTACCTCACGGGGACTTTCTTGGAGGAGACTGGGGTTCCTATAAGGATCGGATCGGTTATCACACGGATGAACGGGATCTTCCAAAACCTCCCTAAGGAAATCTATATATTTGTTTACTCGGACGATATCAATCTGGCCGTCTTCAGGAATTTACGGGTTGCCATACCTCCGCGGAAAAAAAAACTCATATACCCACAATTGTCCACAACCCACTCCCTCCCCGCGAAAAATTCACACACTCCATCCAAGCATTGAACAACATTTTTTTTTTTGTTTTGGAATAACTCTTTTTATTGGAAAATATTTAAACTCAAATACACCGCGTTGACACTACATAATCTGAATTTGTGTGTTCGGATCATCGCTTCCTGCATCTGCTCCCAAACATTGTTTTACTTCTGCACTGTAACGCTAATACCATCCATTACTTTTTACGCTACAAAAGATTACCTGGGTTACAGTTTTTTTTTCTAGTAGATTTCATCAGTGAGATTTTGTTCTTCACAGTTTCTTTTGCTTTGTCGAATTTTGCTTCGCCAAAAAAATTACCTACCAATTTTCCTACATGTATAAAAGTTTAACTTTTACATGGATATACGACGGAAATTTTTCTTGGTTACCTCTTAATAACTACCATTTTTTATTAGATCAAGAATTACAAAGGATTGATTTATTGTAAGCACACTACAAATGAAAACTTAGACTCAAAGTGTAATGAACAGAAAGTTTTAAAAACTAAACACAGCACAGTCTATTCTAGTGCAAGCCCCAATCCACTAATAAAGGTAGGTACTGCACGCGAGCTCTTAGGGTTTCGGTTAGTTTCGAACAGCAACATTTACAATGAACATTGATTTAGATGTGGCGGAAAAAAGTTGGTAACGGCGTTTTTAGTTGCTAGTTCACACATTTATGATTCTCCTTGCTTCAGCAATATGTTCATCGGCAAGCAAGTAATTCCCCGTTTCTGCAGATCACCACACGTTAGTAGGTAGTTTAGGGTATTATTTATAAATAATTCTAGCTTCATCCGGGCCCTGAAACCCGGATCCTGCTTCAAATATAAAATTAATGAAAACAGAATCCGATTATAGGTAGCTTAGTAGTTTTCCAATAAACATCGTGATATAAGTATACACTAAATCCGAGATGCAAACTATCCTATTCGAATGCAATCCGCAATTGGTTGCTCAGTTTGTTTTAGCTAACTTTGCGAAAATAAAATAGGTAGCAGACTAAAATCTTAAACAAATATTCAAAAATAAATGAGCACAGCCCGACGGATCGCATTCCTTCTCAGTGAAGAACGTTTTCCAAATCTCACCCTGTTTTGTGTGTATGTAGGTATTATTTTTACGCGTGTATGTGTTTAATATTGATATCAGCCAGAAGAATATAAAACCACTTGGCATTCTATCCTCAACGATCACTTTTTAAATGTACATCATTTCGGCCATGCTGGACATCTTCTTCGGAATATGCACCAGCGTTTCGAAGTAGCTGGCCATTTCGTCGATGGTGATATCGCAGGGCATTACATTGTTGAGTCGAGCTTGTGTGGAGCAGGAAGCCGAAGCCGACGAAGATGGGGATGACGCGCTGGGAGATTGCTGTTGCGGTGGATTCTGACACTGCGAGCTCTGACTTGTAGAAGGCCCCGTCGTACAACTGACGGCGGTTCCCAGTGGTCCAATACCGAATGGAACGCTACTATTGCTGCTGCTGTCCGATTCCAGCGACGAGGTACTGTTGTATCGCTTGAGCTGCCGTGCTCGGCGGTTCCGGCGCGAGTTGGCCGTGCTGCTGCCTGTGGATCGGTTCAGTTGGAAACTGGCAAAGTCGGGCTGGCGAAGAGATTTGAAACTGCTTTGTGAGTAGTTTGGACCGTCCGATGACTTGCTGGTACTGGCCGAGGAAGAAAGTGTCAGTTCACTACACTGGGCAACTAGTAACCTAAAGTCCAGGATATCACCGCTCTCGTCGCTGTTGAAACATTTGGTGAGATTAGTCTCCGAAAGTGATGGCTTCAGCTGTGATGCGGGTGCCGCGGCTGGGAGGAACGTGTTGGGAGAGTTCTGCTGTTTGGCTGCCTCCTTGGCAATACTGTTTTGCTTGACCAAGTTCTGGTGGACACATTTTCCAATGTTCTTTAGCATCGACTCTCGAACGATTGCCTTTTTCTCACCCTTGACCTTGTGCTTGAACGGAGTTGGATTGATGATACCGTGCTCTAGACTAGTGCTGTGTTTGCCGAGAGGCTGATTATGCTTTCCGACGGTGGCGGCGGAGCTGTTGCAAGAGGATGTGGTGGGTAGCATTCTTTCGGCACCGCACTCGCAATGCGTGCCGAAGATTTGCTTCACGACGGCTTCGTTATCTCGGAAAGCTTCCAGCGCGGTCGGTCCGATTTGGAACGGATTGCCAGCCGGGACGGTTACAGTTGGCGCTGGGGAAAGGCCCGTCAACAGTTGAAAGTTTTTCAACGCTTCATCGAAGCCCTGGTCGTCCGTGTCGGTGGCCATCTGGAAGAAATGATAAAACAGTGTCAGGTCTGAATTCTTTAAATATAAACGTACAAAAACGACAATCTTCTTCTTCTTCTAGGAGGCTTTTACGCTTCTGTAGCGAGCGTTCTACCGGCTCTCAGACTGTTTCAATTTGAAACTATAAATGCACCCATTGCAATGCTGAGTTTCAGTTTCATTATTGGAGCACTATTTTACACCAGATTTGCTACTGCTCGACTATTCTGTTTTCTATTCGCTTAGAAATGCGAATGGAACTTTTTGGATGTATTTATAGTTGTTTCTCCTCTGGTAACTGTTCTGAGAACTTCATAGAAGTTGGGAGGATTTAATGGAAATTTGGGAATTTTACAGTAGTTTTGGGAACTTCTGAGAAGTTTGGGGATATTTCTGTAGAATGTATTGTCAATACATTCTATATTGACGTCAATATATCGAGATTGACAATATATCGAGATTGACAATATTTCTGAATTCACATCATCAATATTATTGTCAATAATTCCCCTTCGCGTCAATATATTGATGCGTGTGGGGTTTGCTATAGAAGTAGGTATATAGGTATTTCATCGGTAGATCGGGGAACATCATGGAAGTACTGCGAATTTCATGTAGAGGCATGGATCTTCATAGAAATTCATGATAGCGCTCGTGTCTTTTGCACTGCATGAAAAATACATTTCTGCGAAATATAGTACACACGTTATAAACGCTAGATTTGGAGTTATTTCATAATCATAATGTTTACAACAGGGTGTCTACTACCTGTAAAACCGGGAATTTACAGGGAATTTTATTTTTTCTGGAAAAAGCCTGGAATATTCAGGGAATTTTCCAATTATCACTTCAATCGTAATTCAAAAGAAGTTTTTCGTTCAGTTTCTCGAAACGTTTCTTAAGGACACTGAACTTGACAAGCATCTGACAGCTAAGACAACGTGTGCGAACGAGACAAGTTTATTCAGAGAGTCTTGTCATGCTCGCTCTTCGCTGATTTGTATGTGGAGGATCAAAATCGTCGTAAAAAGGAAACAGCCGAAAAAGAGAGACTGGAAACCGTCAAAAGGAAGCAGACGAAGCATGTATTGTATAAGAATAAGCATGCCAGACAGCAGGTCTGAGAGCCTACTTAGAATTTTTTTGAGCTTCAGAGAGGGTCGGAGATCTACTGAGAAATTTGTTGAGCTTCAGGGTAGTTCGTAGATCTTGAGAACAGAACTACAAACAAATTAAAAGTAATTAACAGAAATCCATAAAAACAAAATCACAAGTTAGGTCGTAGATCTTCAGATAAATGTTCAAAGAAATTTTCAAAACTTCAAGCAAGCAAAAATAATTTCAAATCAATTTGTAAAACTATAAGCGAAATTTTACAAATCTTCAGGGAAATTCGCATAACTTCAGACAATTCCAAGAATCTACAGTGATATATAAAGTATTTCACTGAAGTTTGGAGATCCTCGAAACATTATTCAACATCAGAAAAGTTCGTAGATCTTCAGAACAAAGCTACAGGACTTTTGAAAAAATCACAAGAATCTCAGAAATGTTAATGGATCTTCAGTAAAAATTGCAGAACTTCAGGGAAGTTCGGCGTTTAAAAAAAGAATATTTACACGGTTTCAGGAAAATTTGTAGATCTTGAGCGAGACATTTAAAACATCAAGGAAGTTAAAATATTTTCAGATAAATTTTGACAACTTTAGGTAATCTTCAAGGAAATTTTCAAATCTTCAGGGTAACCCGAGAGGAATTTCAAAACATCAGAGAAGTTAGCAGATCTACTGAGAAATTTATTGAGCCTCAAGTTTTTTTTTTGTAGATCTTGGGAATAGAGCTACGGAGCTTAAGACAACTTTACAGAACTTTAAAGATATTTGCAGGAATTTGACAGAAAGTTTCACACAAATGTCAGATCTTCAAAAAAAAAACATTAAATGTCAGAAAAGCACCTCAATTCCAAAAACAAATCGCAGCGAAGTACAAAAGTACAATATTTTGCAGAACTCCATGGAAGTCGGAAATAGATATATCTAAAGAACTTCAGAGAAGTCCGTAGACCTTAAGAGAAGTCCGTAGACCTTAAGAGAAGTCCGTAGACCTTAAGAGAAGTCTGTAGAACGTCAGAAAGTTCGTACGTTTTTAGAAAAATTTGCAAAACTTCAGCAAAACTCACAGATCTTCGGGAAAGTTCGCCGATCTTTAGATCAAGAATCTACAAAGAAATTTAAAGAACTTTAGAAAAGTTCGGAGATCTACTGTGAAATTTATTGAACTTCAGGGCAGTTCGTAGATCTTTAGAGCAGAAATACAGTACTTCAGAAAACTTTACAGCATTTGAAATAAATTTTAGGAACTTCAGAAAAGTTCAGAGGGTAGATCGTAAATCTGCTCAAAAATTAGCAGATGTTTAAATAATTTTTCAGAACTTTACTGCGGTTCTTGGATGTTGAAAGATATTTACAGAACTTCAGGCAAGTTCGCTGATCTTTAGAGATATTTGCACAGCTTCAGAAAAATTAGAAAAAAATCAGAATACTTCCTAAAACTTCCGGAAAGCTCAAAAATTTCTAGATCATCTTTTAATTCTTTAGAAAAGTGTATAGATGTTCAGAGATATTTGCAGATATTCATTGAATCATGAAAATCTGCAGAGAAAATTACAGAACTTTCGAGAAGTTTGTAGATTATTAGAAATTTTGTGAACATCAGCGATAATTGTTGATCTTCAAGAATCTTAAATCTTCAGGAATTCAGGAACTTTATAGATTTTTAGGAAAATTTGCAGAACTTCTGAAGAACACACAGAACTTCAAAGAAATCAGATTGTTGATCTTTTAAGAAATTTTACCAGAGAACAGAAACTAAACTTCAGGGACGTCAAAAGGTTTGAAGACTTTGCAGAATTGAGTTGTTAACAGAAATTTTCAGAACTCAAGGAATCATGTATATCTAGTGAGAACTTTTCCCACTACCTTGTCTAAAGTTGGTATCGACATCCTGGCGAAGTTTTGAAATCCATTTTCATCTTCATATCGCAGCTCTTGAAGGACAAGATGAGCCAGATCCCTGCCGGTGTTCCTCCTGAGCAACCATTTCCTACTCCACAAAGTTCACCTTCTCTTTCTCATTTTATTTAAAATAATAAAAGGTTAATACGTCTGCCGAAACTAGAGGAATTATTTCCAAAATTGTTTAGGAGCTGAATTTTGCGTCTCTAATAATTTAAACAATAATCAAAAGCGACGATCGTATGTGTTAAACTGAGTTTAACTATATAGGTAAACCAGGCTTAAGAATTAAGCGGATATGAAGAAATCGGTCCTCAGAGCACTTAATTTTACATGAGACTTTCGTAGTCTGTACTTTGGTCTTCTTGTCTGATATATCTTGGTGTCATCCTAGAATCCTTTAAAATTTACTTTGGATTTTTTAAAGTTCTTAATCATCATTGAAAGACTTTTGAAAATCTATCACAGACAAATAACTTTGGAAAGTTTCCAAGGTTTTCAATTTATTTTCTTGGAAAGCAGTTTTATTTTTCCCGATTTTAAATCGAAATTGAAGGTATTTCCCAATAGTTTTCTTGACGTTCTAAAGTTTTGCGGTTCACTGGTCACCCTGGTTAAAATTTTCATTTTTTTAACAGATATGTATATTTTGTTAAAACTACTGAAGACTTTCTTAGTGCCTAGTACCTACTCAATTTAAACATTTCGTTGATATTTTAAATCTCACTCTATTTAAGTAGTGAAAAAGTGACTTTAGTGACTATTTTTAGGGAAATAGTGACTTTAGTTACTTTTTGGAGTAAAAAGTGACTTTTTAGTGACTGGCTTCAAAATAGTGACCAAGTCACTAAAAAGTGACTTGCTACCAGCCCTTCACGAGAAAAGGGCCTATCATTGTTGATCGATTCTCTTCATCGATTTTCTCTTTCGCAAGCTAACATTATTTCGACAGTGAGCATTCATAAGGGCGAATACGCGATGATCGATTCTCTTCATCGCTTTTCTCTTTGCATTGCTACAGCTAAGCGAAACAATTTTCTAGAATTTGTTCAATGCAGAGTTATAATAGGTTGTATTGGCTATCAAAATCAACAGCAAACGCACCGAGAAACGTTAAATCTAGCGAGTTATTAACAAAAGAGAAAATCGACGAAGAGAATCGATCATCGCGTATAGGCCCTTATGCATGCTCACTGTCGATTTTCTGTCTAACTGTACTGCGAGCTTAGCGTGAAATTTGTTTATGTCGCGTGGTAAACCAAAGAGAAAGTATATGGAGAGAAACGATCAACGAGGATAGGCCCTTTTAAAATGTTACGCGAGAAATAGATATTATCTCAGGCAGCTCAGAAATGAATCCAACGATCTTCAGGTGTTCTAAGATCTCAATGAAGTCCTCATGATATTTTTAAGACTTCAGGTTGATCAGGTGTTATTTTAAAGACTATCCAATAACGTTTATTAGCTCTCATGATACTAGGCAGCTCAAATATTATTTCGAATACCATCAGCTGATCAGAGACCCTGCATCGTTGTGCCAATTTGGTCGTGGCACATTTCGAGTATGAGAAAGTGATTGCAGTTTGCTCAAAATTGGCTGAGTAAAATCGAAGACAACAAATCAAGAAGACTGGCAACTCTTCCATTTTCTCATACAAACGCTATGAGACAGGTTCATGCTTCGAACGAATGAACGAGAAATGTATCGCTTCAGTTTGAGAAGCACTTCACTTCGCAATCTATGAACCATTCTAACGGCGAGGGGGAGTGTACCCCATTAGGCATAATGGACGTTATGCATAATATACGTTAGGCATAAAATACCTTGCTGCTGTGTAACTCTAGAAACCTGTTTCGAGCATAGTACACAATGTTTAAATTAGGCTAAGCATTGAATAAAAAATGATACAAGTTTAACAAACATAGTTTATTTAATAAGCACAGTTTGGAATCCATTATTTATCATATCATAAGTGACGTAGCTAC